ATTTTGAATTAGATTTTTTTTATTTGAGTTTGTTTTCATAATTTTGTGTGCTATTGTCATTTTATTTCTATTTAGCTTTAAATATTTGTACTAAATTTTTTTAAGTTACATTTTTTAATATAATATTTATATTTTATTTTAGCTTTATTAAAATTAGTGAATTATTTTTAAAGCTTTTTTTTTTTACTCAACAATAACAACATTATACTGTGCTATTACTGTGTGTTCAAAACAAGCCACCAAAAACAAGTTCTGTCCACAGAAAAAAAAACGGAAATGTATGGTCACACTATAATAATTCTTACCCATGGAACTTCAATGTAAACTAAAAGCGGCTATATACATAAATGTGTTGAATGCTAATATATAGATGAAGGTTTAATACCTGCTCCTCCTGTCTTTACAGCACTGCGTCCCTTCTTCCCCTCCTGCTGGTCTTTAAGGGTCTCATAGACTATTTGGATGACTGGAATACTGAAGGCCTACAAGACCACATTGATTTTGTGTTCACATTTCACTGCTCCTTTACATATAAAATACAGCTCTGATGCGTGTCCTCACAGTGACAGTTTTATGGTAAAGTACACGGTCACAGAAAAAAACATATTAATATCAATGGCTTCACACTTACTCCAGTTTTTCCACTCCCAGTCTCAGCAGCCTGTGAACATAAACAAACAAGTGAGAACAGAGGTGGTGATCTCTCTCTCATTCATTCATTCATTCATTCTCTCTCTCTCTCACACACACACACACACACACACACACACACACACACACACACAATGATCTCACCATGTCTCCTCCGCCCAGAATCAGTGGAATGGATTCGGCCTGAATGTCTGTTGGCAACCTGAAAGAGAGGATCAAACCTTTAACTACTTTAATAATGCACAGATAACTAACTTAATACATCTATTATGTGTATATTAATAACTATTAGAGACTGTCTAACTCACAGCCAGTCCATTTCTTCCACCGCTTGTGCAATTTCAGGCATCACTCCCATTTCTATAATTCAAAACGACAAGATATCAAGACCAATAGTTTAACCACACTCAATATATAATAACGAAATACATATTCTGATAGTTTTACTAAACTGTTGACAGGTAAATCTCACCGCCGAACGCTGCCATGTGTATGCTGCAGTTCCTCAAACATTGAACAAAATATAACAAGTAAAAGCATTTTTTTTTTTCAAATTACTTTCCAAATTTAGAAATAAATTTCCTTCATTTAAGTAGTGTGAGAGCGCAACGATGCTCTAAATGTGTTGGCATAGCAACGCGATACTTCCGGTTTCCTTTTCCGCCTGTCCTACGAAGGCCGTCTCGTTTAATTCTAGGTTGAGGACACTTCGTATATGCATCCTACAGAGGATTCGACCTCCGGAGGGTGCAGCCTTCTAAATGAGACACAGCTATGGTGTCAAACTCCTGCGAGTCTCTCCGCCGGATGTACCGTGTGCTCACTGTGCTGGTTCTGATAGAGTGCTGCGTAGAAAACAACGGTCCGTGTGGATCGCGCCTTCGCACTTCAGTTCCGTCGGTCTTGTTTTTTTATGGACAAAAGAGATAAAAACTTTATTTCACCACCTATAGTGACAAAAATATTAAAACTACGTTTTAGTTATGGAAAACAACCTATAAATAATTAGTCGGAATATTTAAAAGATCAGCATATGTACCTCGCAGACCGCCGTAGTGTGATGTGGGCGCAGTTCATTGAAAACATGGCAGGTGATATTATTCTAGAAGACGAGGAGGAGAATATTTTATATGATTTACTTACTAACACAGAATGGCCGCCCGACACAGATACGCAGGCTTGTCGAAATATACGCTCTTTCTTTAACCAAATGATCATTTGCACCCGATATTAAAATATTAACTTTAATTAGTTAGTTATTTTGAGCCACGTATTCAAGTTCATCATCATCCAGGATTTATTTACTTGTAAATATGATTGTGTAATAAATATCATTATTATGATTTACAACTCGTCATGTATTCTTTTTTTCTGTATATTGTCAATTATAATCACCAGCTGCAGCTTTGAGGAGCGGGTTCAAGCTCAGAACTATTCATTTAACAGCCTGATGACAGCTGATAAAAACAGTCAAATAAATGCAGCCTTGGTGAGCATAAGATCTTTTTTTTTTTCTGATTCTAAACTTTTGAATGGTAGTGTTCTCATACTTTGAGGACCCAGTCATGCTTTGTACAGTACAAAGCAGGGCATCACATCAATCAGTGCCAGTCAGTGAGGTCAAGTCAAACGTTAACTTCAGTATTGACTGGCATGATGTTGCACATTCAAATATTTGATGGCATGTGACACAGATAGCTACTTTTCTTGTTGTTCTGTAATAACCGAAACTAAGTACAGAATCGCAAAAACACGGCTTTACACATATACTGTACATGAATGAGAAATAAAGCTAGACTATATCACACAAGATGAGTTTTGTCAGATTTACAAGGTGATTGACAGTTTTTTCATTCTCTCCACAGAGGCTGAGCTGCTGGATCTTATGTATGTAAACAGAGGCAGATAAACACTGGACAGCATGTCGAATGAGGAAAAATGGGTCACTTTGAGTCCAAATGAATTCTCTCTTCTTCAAGACTATGCACAATGTAAGGCTTTTATTCTGTCATTCTTCCATATTTGCCCAATGTTTGTTTATCAATCCATAAGTTATGCTTCAATTCAGTTATGCAGTGGGGCAAAAAAGTATTTAGTCAGTCACCAATTGTGCAAGTTCTCCCACTTAAAAAGATGAGAGAGGCCTGTAATTTTCATCATAGGTATACCTCAGCTATGAGAGACAAAATGAGAAAAAAAGTCTAGAAAATCACATTGTAGGATTTTTAAAGAATTAATTGGTAAATTCCTCTGTAAAATAAGTATTTGGTCACCTACAAACAAGCAAGATTTCTGGCTCTCACAGACCTGTAACTTCTTCTTTAAGAGGCTCCTCTGTCCTCCACTGGTTACCTGTATTAATGGCATCTGTTTGAACTCGTTATCAGTATAAAAGTCATCTGTCCACAACCTCAAACAGTCACACTCCAAACTCCACCATGGCCAAGACCAAAGAGCTGTCAAAGGACACCAGAAACAAAATTGTAGACTTGCACCAGGCTGGGAAGACTGAATCTGCAATAGGTTAGCAGCTTGGTGTGAAGAAATCAACTGTGGGAGCAATTATTAGAAAATGGAAGACATACAAGACCACTGATAATCTCCCTCGATCTGGGGCTCCATGCAAGATCTCACCCCGTGGGGTCAAAATTATCACAAGAACTGTGAGCAAAAATCCCAGAACCACACGGGGGGACCTAGTGAATGACCTGCAGAGAGCTGGGACCAAAGTAACAAAGGCTACCATCAGTAACACACTGCGCTGCCAGGGACTCAAATCCTGCAGTGCCAGATGTGTCCCCCTGCTTAAGCCAGTACATGTCCAGGCCCGTCTGAAGTTTGCTGGAGAGCATTTGGATGATCCAGAAGAGGATTGGGAGAATGTCATATGGTCAGATGAAACCAAAATATAACTTTTTGGTAAAAACTCAACTTGTCGTGTTTGGAGGAGAAAGAATGCTGAGTTGCATCCAAAGAACACCATACCTACTGTGAAGCATGGGGGTGGAAACATCATGCTTTGGGGCTGTTTTTCTGCAAAGGGACCAGGACGACTGATCTGTGTAAACGAAAGAATGAATGGGGCCATGTATTGTGAGATTTTGAGTGAAAACCTCCTTCCATCAGCAAGGGCATTGAAGATGAAATGTGGCTGGGTCTTTCAGCATGACAATGATCCCAAACACACCGCCCGGGCAACGAAGGAGTGGCTTCGTAAGAAGCATTTCAAGGTCCTGGAGTGGCCTAGCCAGTCTCCAGATCTCAACCCCATAGAAAATCTTTGGCGGGAGTTGAAAATCCGTGTTGCCCAGCGACAGCCCCAAAACATTACTGCTCTTGAGGAATGGGCCAAAATACCAGCAACCGTGTGTGAAAACCTTGTGAAGACTTACAGAAAATGTTTGACCTCTGTCATTGCCAACAAAGGGTATATAACAAAGTATTGAGATGAAATTTTGTTATTGACCAAATACTTGTTTTCCACCATAATTTGCAAATAAATTCTTTAAAAATCCTACAATGTGATTTTCTGGATTTTTTTTCTCATTTTGTCTCTCATAGTTGAGGTATACCTATGATGAAAATTACAGGCCTCTCTCATCTTTTTAAGTGGGAGAACTTGCACAATTGGTGGCTGACTAAATACTTTTTTCCCCCACTGTATTTGAAATCTCTGTTACAATGCTTTGAAAGGCTATCAAAATAATCATTGTACATTTTTGAACATTGAAGTTACATCTATATAATTTAATATTTACCTAATTTAACTTTATACAGTACCATTCAAAACTTTCAGTCAGGTTTCGGAGTTTCTTTAATGTTTATCATAATGTTTCTTTAATGTTTCATAAGTCTCTTATGCTCACCAAGTTTACATTTATTTGATCAAAATACAGAAGAAAAAAAAAGTGAAAAAATTATGAAATATTACTACAATTTAAAATACCCATTTTCTATGTTAATATATTTTAAAATGTAATTTATTCCTGTAATGTCAAAGCTACATTTTCAGCGGCAATTACTCCAGTCCTCAGTGTCACATAATCCTTCAGAAATCATTCTAATATGCTGATGTTGAAAACCGTTGTGCTGCTTTGTAATATTTTATTCAGAATAGATCATTTGTTCAATAAAGTGCAAAAGAACAGTATTTATTTGAAATTAGTGCTGTCAAACGATATTTCCTTGCTGAATATTAGAATTAAGTAATAAAAGTCTTTAAAAAATCTTTCACCCCTAACTTTTGAACATGAATATTTAATTTAGCATTAAAGATAACTTGGTATATTTTCAAAAAATGATATTTTGAGATAAAAAAATAAATAAAAAAATCAATGCCCCCAGTTTAAGATTTGTACACTTACTCCACTTTCTAAAATGGAGAGCTGTTCTTTAGCAGCCACTCCTCCAATGATCAGAAGATCCCTGCAAAAACATCATGATGTTCAGTTAACTCCAAACCCTCTCAACAGACACTACAATTATGAAACTCACTGCAGCTGCTCCGTTACTCTCAGCTCACCTCAGTTTGGGGTTATCATCTTATTTCTTGAACTGGTTGACATTATTGAGGGTTTGTTCAGCCAGCTCTTTAGACGGCTCAATGATGAGAGCTCTGGGGGCGTTAGAAATGGATTTGACCTGACTCACTTTAGCACTTCCTGAGGACAAATACACATGACAGACAGAATGCAAGGAAACATTAATACAAGCCCTGCAGGCAGTGAAAAATGAATGTGGTTTGAAGCTCACCTGTCTGGCTGGATTTGACCACATGACCGTCTGAAGCCTGGTTCACGGCCACGTATCCATCTTTAGGTTGGTTTTTGAAAGGTTCATCACCAAAGTTGAATTTCAGTTCAGCATTCTGGGTTTGATTGACATAAACATTTGACAAAGCATTTTAAGAAAAGCTATTTTGAAAGAGAACTGTTACGTAGCAACAACAAGACTTGTATATGTCAGATACCTTCAGCACACAGGAAGCAAAGAAGGGCTGGTTTTTCAGCTGTGGAGGGATCTCAAAAGCCAGACCCAGATCATTACCTGTGAATGACGAATAGGAATCAGTTATAGTGGCTTCCATTTGCATTACGGCTGCACGGTATACTGATATTAAAATTAGTTTGATGGTACCAAACATTTATTATCTATTCAAAAATTTGGAGCTGGTAAGATTTTTTTCTTCAATGCTCAGCTTGTATTTGATCATATTTTATTTGAAACTGTTTTGCATTTTATTATTTTTGTGTAAACAGTGACAATTTTTCAGGATTCTTTGATGAATTAAAAAAAGCATTTGAAATAGAATTTGTATTTGAAATAGAAATGTTCTGTAACACTAAAAATATTTTTACTGCCATATTTGATCAATTTATTTCATCCTTATATTACTGACCTGGTAAGGTAGTGTATAACATTATATTATAAATTATTTTACATAATATTGATGACAATTTAGCATAGCTCTGCATAGTGTGACGACATGCTCAATTAAATTAAATCGAATTATTCACTAAAACATTTCAAAGGCTTAAATTAAAAACAAGCCTTACCATTTTTAGAGAATGACACTTGGCATTTATCCAGATCTATGTAGCATCCGATGGTGTCGTGCATAGTGAACTCCTGGAAAAGGCATAAATCTGGTCAATCTACCGAAACTTGAGAGTCAAATCAAATGCCTTCATAATGCCTTACCTCTCCGTAACTATCAAACTGCTTGTTGTGAGATTTCTTTCCAGTTCCCCCAAAGCCAAATCCATATTTGTCCGTTCCTAAGAGAAGGTAAAAATAGAATACCAAACATTATTATTATTACAGAAGTAATGACATAAACAGATCAGTATAATGAGGTCATACAAAAATATACCCAAGTCCAGTGATGCCTCGGCAGTGGACCAGCCCAGCCTGCACAGCCCTTGATCATAACAGGCTACTTCATAATAATACTTCCCTAGAGACAAATAAGCAGAATAAATCTTCCCAGGAATTGTTTGGTTTTGAAAAGAAACACAAAAAAGTGGTCTCTTACCTTTTGTGACTGCTTTGGTGGAACGACAGCCATGCCACTCTTTGACCTCTCTGCTCTGACAGCACAGGCCATCTGGACCAATAGCTGAAGGAGAAAAAACTAAATGTAATATAATCATTTTGTTGCAACAAAGAAGTGGAAATAAGCTTCCAGAATCACAATGAAGAGTTCAGAATCAAACCAGGTTATGCCTTTCACAAGAAAGTGTTAAACACTTACCAAATGCAGAACTTCTGTCATAGGGGTTCATCTGCCATTTATTAAAAACTGGAATGGACAAGAAATCCAAAAAGAACAATCAATAAATCAAAGCCAAATGTGATCTTGAATTTTTGACAGCAAAAGTAGTTTCTGAAATACAATCTGCTATAGCAGTCTCAATATACTTCAGACAAGCAAGTAAATTAGATAATTGTTTTCTGACGAATGAATCTTATTTAAATGTATATACTATTATAGTATTTTGAATTAGATTTTTTTTATTTGAGTTTGTTTTCATAATTTTGTGTGCTATTGTCATTTTATTTCTATTTAGCTTTAAATATTTGTACTAAATTTTTTTAAGTTACATTTTTTAATATAATATTTATATTTTATTTTAGCTTTATTAAAATTAGTGAATTATTTTTAAAGCTTTTTTTTTTTACTCAACAATAACAACATTATACTGTGCTATTACTGTGTGTTCAAAACAAGCCACCAAAAACAAGTTCTGTCCACAGAAAAAAAAACGGAAATGTATGGTCACACTATAATAATTCTTACCCATGGAACTTCAATGTAAACTAAAAGCGGCTATATACATAAATGTGTTGAATGCTAATATATAGATGAAGGTTTAATACCTGCTCCTCCTGTCTTTACAGCACTGCGTCCCTTCTTCCCCTCCTGCTGGTCTTTAAGGGTCTCATAGACTATTTGGATGACTGGAATACTGAAGGCCTACAAGACCACATTGATTTTGTGTTCACATTTCACTGCTCCTTTACATATAAAATACAGCTCTGATGCGTGTCCTCACAGTGACAGTTTTATGGTAAAGTACACGGTCACAGAAAAAAACATATTAATATCAATGGCTTCACACTTACTCCAGTTTTTCCACTCCCAGTCTCAGCAGCCTGTGAACATAAACAAACAAGTGAGAACAGAGGTGGTGATCTCTCTCTCATTCATTCATTCATTCATTCTCTCTCTCTCTCACACACACACACACACACACACACACACACACACACACACACAATGATCTCACCATGTCTCCTCCGCCCAGAATCAGTGGAATGGATTCGGCCTGAATGTCTGTTGGCAACCTGAAAGAGAGGATCAAACCTTTAACTACTTTAATAATGCACAGATAACTAACTTAATACATCTATTATGTGTATATTAATAACTATTAGAGACTGTCTAACTCACAGCCAGTCCATTTCTTCCACCGCTTGTGCAATTTCAGGCATCACTCCCATTTCTATAATTCAAAACGACAAGATATCAAGACCAATAGTTTAACCACACTCAATATATAATAACGAAATACATATTCTGATAGTTTTACTAAACTGTTGACAGGTAAATCTCACCGCCGAACGCTGCCATGTGTATGCTGCAGTTCCTCAAACATTGAACAAAATATAACAAGTAAAAGCATTTTTTTTTTTCAAATTACTTTCCAAATTTAGAAATAAATTTCCTTCATTTAAGTAGTGTGAGAGCGCAACGATGCTCTAAATGTGTTGGCATAGCAACGCGATACTTCCGGTTTCCTTTTCCGCCTGTCCTACGAAGGCCGTCTCGTTTAATTCTAGGTTGAGGACACTTCGTATATGCATCCTACAGAGGATTCGACCTCCGGAGGGTGCAGCCTTCTAAATGAGACACAGCTATGGTGTCAAACTCCTGCGAGTCTCTCCGCCGGATGTACCGTGTGCTCACTGTGCTGGTTCTGATAGAGTGCTGCGTAGAAAACAACGGTCCGTGTGGATCGCGCCTTCGCACTTCAGTTCCGTCGGTCTTGTTTTTTTATGGACAAAAGAGATAAAAACTTTATTTCACCACCTATAGTGACAAAAATATTAAAACTACGTTTTAGTTATGGAAAACAACCTATAAATAATTAGTCGGAATATTTAAAAGATCAGCATATGTACCTCGCAGACCGCCGTAGTGTGATGTGGGCGCAGTTCATTGAAAACATGGCAGGTGATATTATTCTAGAAGACGAGGAGGAGAATATTTTATATGATTTACTTACTAACACAGAATGGCCGCCCGACACAGATACGCAGGCTTGTCGAAATATACGCTCTTTCTTTAACCAAATGATCATTTGCACCCGATATTAAAATATTAACTTTAATTAGTTAGTTATTTTGAGCCACGTATTCAAGTTCATCATCATCCAGGATTTATTTACTTGTAAATATGATTGTGTAATAAATATCATTATTATGATTTACAACTCGTCATGTATTCTTTTTTTCTGTATATTGTCAATTATAATCACCAGCTGCAGCTTTGAGGAGCGGGTTCAAGCTCAGAACTATTCATTTAACAGCCTGATGACAGCTGATAAAAACAGTCTATGATATTATTCATAGACCTCGTGTTTGTCTGTGTTTTATTTTCAGCTGCGTGGACTGAAGGAACACAACTCTTCACTCGTTGCAAAGGCAGTAACAGGTAGGAAGTGCAGAAATGAGATGCAGCACATTTGAAAATGTTTGCAAGATGCCATGTTTATTAATGCAAACAGAATATGTCTCAGAAGTAAGGTAAAACGTGACATGTTTCTTTCCAAATCAGATTAGCAGAGAACAGTGTTTCAGCATGAGTATGTTTACTTGGCAGACATGTTTACTCGAGATAAAATAAACTCCATCTGAATAATACAAGACCTGATTCTAATCGCATCTTATTTAGTGATTTTAGTCCAAACTAAGTTGTTTATAAATCTACTTATGTCAGAGTATTTGTGTTTTAAATGGGGATTCTGGGGATAAGTTTGTTTTTACACATGAAAAATATTTGATCTACTTATGCACTTCATTTTTTAATACAACAACAACAACTTTCTATTCAAACGATGCCTTGTTTTGCCATTTTTAGATGATTTGCTCATTATATTCATGTTATAGTGTCATTTATATATAATTATAGTTCTGAATTAGTGTTTTTTTATTAACATATTTTGTTTTAATTTGAGTTTTAGGGTAATTTTTAGTCATTTTTATGTGCCTTTAGCATTTTTAATAGTTAAAAATTTAGTTTTATTTAACTTTAGCACTCATTTACTTTGATACATTTTTAATACATTAGTATGTATTTATTTTGGTTAGTTGCCAAGGCAACGGTTTTCTTTTTTTTTCAATCTAAAATTTATATTTTCAGTTTTGTTTCAAAGACAATTTTTTATAGTATTAGTTAAACACGCACACACACAGATTATATATCCAAAATGTGTATAAGCTGGTTTGCATTGCCCAACAATTGCATTGCTGCCTTAACTTGGTACAGAGATTATTGAATAATAATCAAAATATTGTGTCTTTACAGGGCTCTTCAGGTTTATTCTGCAATACCTTTGGTACAGGTGAGATGCTGTCTCTTCTATTTGTATTTACAGTAAAGTATACAGTAGCTGCGTATTTAGAATTTGTAATATATAGTGATTCTCCCATATTTAAATAATTAGACATAAAGATATAACACCACATACAGTACCTTTTAAAAGTCGATAAGATTGTGAAATATTCTTAAAAGAAGTTTCTCATGCTCACCAAGGCTGCATTTATTTGATCAAAAGTATAGTAAAAATGATTACAACTGTTATCATCTATTTTGATATAGTTTAAAATGTTATTTATGATGGGAAAGCTGAATTTTCAGTTCTTAAAAATCTTTCTGACCTCAAAGTTTTGAATGGCAGGGTATATCATTATCATTACTATATCAAGGAAACATAGTACCAAGTTATTCAGCTGTTAGTGTTTGTGTGAGTTTCTGTATTTTTTCTGTATTTCAGCCCCTCCAGTTCAACTCTGCCACCTGGACTGGTTCGCCTTGCAACCAAACAATTGAACTGGCAGTTGGTGCTGACAAGGTAATACCACCAGTATCTGACATACTGTATACAGGCTTTTCAGAGAGTTTGAGTCAGTCTATTCCCAGGCAAGTTTTGGCAGGTTCATCTGCAATGTGAAAAGCTCTTTTGCACTTGAAGCTTCAGCATTTGCTGCATATTGATCATCCACACCTCATTGACTCTGCATTGCTAAAGTGCATACTGTGTCTCTCACCAAAAAGCATTGGATTTTGCCCCCTAATTTAGACTCTTTTGTGTATAGAGTTGTTTTAGGTTCATTATAACTGCAACAACACTGTTTTCTTGGATTTTCAAGAAATCATTCGTTTGTGTGTTTTGGTTCTTGTGAGATATCCAAATTTAATTAAACGTCTGTTTTTGGATGCAAGCCATGTAATCTCAATCAAACTCATTTTTTCCTTCACTGTTCTACTTGTTCCTGCCAGTTATCTAGTTATGCAAAACAAGCAGAGACGGCAAGCTTTAATTAGCTATTGATTTCCAGATGGAAGACAACATTCTCTGTTTTAGAAATGTTTATTTTTGGCCCCATGTTTGCTTACACAGTCATTCTGTCTTCTTTTCCCCCTTTTTTAATTTCTTTATTTATTTTTTCCTTCCAGTAATGGGAAGCTCCTGGCTGTGGTTCAGGACCAATGCGTGGAAATGAGGTAATTCTGCACATCGATTGGAAGTGTTTGCCCTTTCTGTAATTGGTTAATTTTTCACACTCTTGTCTCAGGTGCTGTTCAGCTGAGCAAAGCTATTTCTGAGACAGATGATTTGGTGCAGATGATGTGTTTTTAAATATTTGTATGTGTGTTTTCATGTACAATTCAGTTTCAGTAGGTATGATTTATTTCTCTTGGCACCAGCTAATCCGCTCGCACAGAAATGAAAGTGTCACGCTTCAGGGTCTAAGTAATTCACAGCCTGATGTTCTGAAAACAACCTCTAAACTTCAAATTGCTTAATCTAAAAAAATCTATAGTTTCTCCACATTCTGCTATATTTGCTTACTGAGGCTGATGGGAACTCAAAACGCTCATGCGTTTTTATCAACACACTTCTAATGGGCTTCTTGCGCTCTTTCAGGTCAGCTAGAGATGACTTTGGATCCATCATATTTCCTATGCCAAGGTACAGTAAACATTTAGTTTTTTAGTTATGCCAAGCCATTTCCCCAGATTTTTAACAACATTAGTTACATATAACAGGATGTTTCTGTGAATTTTGACATTTCCAGCAAATATTGCTTGATTTTACTTAAAAAAAAATCCCAAAATGTATACAGCTTTGGAACCTAAAACCATTATAATCCTTATTAGAGCGGTTCATTAATGATTGATTAGGTGATGTATATTGTGTATAGAAATGTAATTGCTATAAACAGCATATTGCTATATATTGTAATTGTGTGTGTGTGTGTGTGTATATATATATATATATATATATATATATATATATATATATATATATATATATATATAATGTATGTATCATGTATATGTATGTATGTATGTATGTATGTGTATATATATATTCTCTCTATCTTTGATTGCTGCTTCAAAGATTGATATCTGCCACTTTGAGTTTCCAGTCTTTGGTTAAATAGGCTATTTTACTTGTTATTCTCTTCCCTGCTCTATATTTTTATAGCTTTACATTTGCGTTGAATATTTTATGAGCAATATCATTCAGAGACTAGGCCTGCAGACATGCAAGTCTGCTTTCAATTCACTTTCATTCATACCGTCTTAGTTCATTTCAGTTCATTTCATGGAGATTTGCATTCAGCCAATATCATCTATAAAGGCGGAATTTCCAGTGGTGTGAAATATATGTAATGGATGTGTTTGATTAATTTCGCATTGTCTTTTGTGCTCTATATTCACGCTTCTTTCTTTCATGTTTTCCTCTTTCGTCTCGAGGAGCAGAATGTGATGTTTTATATGTACCAGATAAATGTGTGTTCTGTGCTTTAGCCCTGATGGGAATGCTTTCCTCATCACTGCACATAAGAGTCAGTGCATGTACATTCTCAGTCGTTCATTAAAAAGTAATCTGTGTGTAAATGAATCTCTTTTAGTGAATGAAATGTGAGTTTAGAGCATCAGTTGAGAAAGAAAAATAATAAGCAGTAATATGTATCTAGTAAATTAAAACTGATTTATGCTGTCAGTTATGTCTTTGAACCATCATTTGCTACTTGCAGTTGCACATATGCAGGACATTAGGGTGAATGATACTTCGATTTGAAATATAAAGTAGGGGAAGTCGGGGCCTAATGGTTAGAGAGTCGGACTCGTAACCCAAAGGTTTGTAGGTGGGGGGAGTGAATGTACAGCGCTCTCTCCCTCCTTCAATACGACATAAATGGCTGCCCACTGCTCCGGGTGTGTGTTCACGGTGTGTGTGTGTGTTCACTGCTGTGTGTGTGCACTTTGGATGGGTTAAATGCAGATTCTAAGTATGGGTCACCATACTTGGCCACATGTCACGTCACTTTCATAAAGATTATTTATATAAATAATACTGATAATTTTAATATATGGCTGATATTAAAACTTATAAATGACATAATAATAATACTAGTAGTAGTAGTAATAATAATTAACAAAAAAGTCAACAAAATAATTGGTACAGGTGAATTTAGGCATCATAACATGATAATGTACAGTATGAAAAATGTTTTTTTTTTTTTTTTAGGTGTGATAAGGATTACATTTAACAGTGTTATTAAATTATTAATTCTTTGGTGTTAAATTATGGCAAAGGTAATTTAATTGTAGTAATCCATTAAATGTCCAATATTGACTGATATAAAAAAAAAAAAAAAAAACAACAACAAAATTGATATCAGTTTTTAGCCAATAATAATGTACCCATATATATAATGCATCCCTAACATAAATCTGTGTAGTGCAGTATGAGTCATCATTAATTTTTGGTCGAGGAATAGAAAAATTGACAAGTAGATGACGTGACATATCCTGTCATATGATGTCACCACCAAATGGTTAATAATTAATAAGTGAATGCAAGCCAGCACAAACTATTACAGATCAGCAGCATTCAGCCTAAACTGAAATCATGAGTTGGTTACAATGAACGGCTGCTCTGTTTTGCGTCCAAATGCAATTGGCAAGTCCCTCAGGTTTGTTTCTTGTTGCGAGAGCTCAAAGTGACTCAGCGGTCTTTACGCTGTCAGTCTCAAGGAGACATTTTTATAGCGAGTTCACACTCAACCGGGTGGCTTTGCTGACCTGGCATATTTCCATTCTCAAAAAAATGCATTTTTCCCCCTCTTTTTATTTAAATGAGATTTACGGTGTGCAAATCTGCCCAGATAGCATACAGTACGCGCATCCCACAAATTCAAGCATATTGGCCCCGGCGTTCATCTTAGATTAATTAGCTTTTAACAGCTGAGAGGTGATTTATGGACCCTGCTTAAGCGTTTCCCCTACCGATATTTATCTTGCTAAGTGCCATCGTTCATTGTGAATTATTGAATCTCTCTCTCCCGATATTTCTGTGCATTTCTACCTGAATAGAAATCGCCAGCTTCCGTTTCCAACACCTCAGGGGTCGGATTGATGATAAGGTTGCTATGGCAACCACTTGCTTTGATGTGTGCTGCGGTGTGCGTCTGATCTCAGCGGTGCGGCTCGGACCAAAGCCAAAATGTTTTTAATCAAAGGTCTGCTTTATTAACCCCCTCTTGTCTGATGATTGCTAGTTGGATGGTCTCGGTCTGTAGTCTGCAGGAGGCTGTGGGGATGAAACTGTTGCTAGGCCCTGAAGCTGTCGTATCATGCGGCTGGTGTTTAAGTGTTACTTTAGTGTTTAAGTATACAGATTTTATCACGCTGGGCTTTTGAACTTTAATCGAAAAGCCTTGGGCTCATCCCGCACCGAATCGGGTACTGTTTGACTGTGGTGAACGGTTTGAAGGCTGATCGCTCTGTGTTTTCCTCACTGTTGACCGTGGAGGATGTTTTTTGAACTTACTATTACTATATGAATCCATAAAAAAGTCACGGTTTTTACAAAAATATAAAGCAACTATTTTCAACATTGATAATAATCAGAAATGTTTCTTGAACACCAAATCATTAAAATTATTTCTGGATCATGTGACACTGAAGACTGGAGTAATGACTGCTGAAAGTTCAGGTTTGCCATCAGAGGAATAAATGACATTTTAAAATATATACAAATAGAAAATTATTTAAAAAAAATTCCATAAAAAAAAAAAAAATCAAATAATAAATGCAGCTTTGGTGAGCATAAGAGACTTTTTTTCAAAAACATTTAAAAATCTTACTGACCCCAAACCTTTAAACAGGAGTTTCCAAATCACATCTAAATACATTTTGTGCTACAGAACGTTATGTTCTCCTTCCTTCTGCAGTACCCAAGGATTCAAACCCTCACTGGCGCAGGGTAGCGTGGAGTCATGACTGTGCTCTGTTGGCATACGCTG